AAATGTGTTTCTTCAAAAAAACTTTTTTTTACAGCACTGACCATAATTACTATTCATTTTCATTTTTCGCTACAATAACACTATATATATATATATATATATATATTATAACAGCACTATATTTCCTTCCAACAAGTCCAACTTAAAGCAATCTTCTTGAATGACACTACACTAATGAACATATCTACATCATCTTCATATTCAGCTGTGCACTTTTCAAAACACTTCTTGCTTTCTCGTGAGGTATTCTCTCTTCTCCTTCATTTTCTCAGTCTGATAAGACTAACCATTTTTCCTATCACCTTCCATTTTCTCGCTCAACATCTCTCTATCCACGTATTGAAGTATTCAACAATTTGTCTCATACATCAAATCATTCCTTCATTCCTCGTTTTAACTTTCCTTCTAGCAGTACTCACTATTCCTACAAATTTTCATTCATTCACTCAGCTAGTATTTATATAGTTCTTGAACTATCATACAATTTTTCCCCACCATATCATTTTTTAATTTCATTTTTCCTGTCAAAATTTTCATTATTCCTATGCATTTTCATTTTTCCGCTGCAATAGAATGTATATAGCTATTCATGTATCTAGTATTTTTCTCATACAACGAATCATTTTTCATTTCTCCATTTCACTTTTCCTATAGCCGTCTTCATTATTCCTATGCATTTTCTTTATTCATAGGAAGAATCATTTTTCTTATTGTGTGGTCTTACTTGACGTCATTAAGGGGAGCATTTTTGACCTGAAGGGCAAAATTCCGCTGAATATTAACATTTTTGACACCGATCGAAGCGTTGTCCAAACCTCATTTTTGTCTGTGCAACTATATATTAGCTTGCACCAAAAGTAGATTGAAATTTAAATAACAAAGCTTAATTTGGATCATGTTGAACTTGATTAGTAAAATGATGTAATAAATTCCAAATATCTGCTCGAGTTGTAGTGAATTGTGAGGGTGTGATAATTGTATTTAATTATTTGTTTGGTGTTATTTTCATAGAATTTGATAATGTTACAGGACAATCAATAATTGCTACATCTGTTTCCAAAAATATCGTCATCTTATGACCATTAAAATTATGTAAAATGGTTTTTTTTCGTTTGATTTCTAAATCATATTGTAAGAGATAATCCATACCTAATATAAGATTTGTGCATAAATTTTTGGTTATGAAGGCTGGAATATTTTTTATAATATTATTTAGATGAATAGTCAAATGAACAATTAACGCAACAATTAACGAAGTTAAGGACGCCACCCCCCCACTCAAAAAAGACAATTATCTCCAAGCAATGCCAAATGGAGATGATAGAATAACAAAAGCGCCCCGAAATTGC